TATATAGGGGGCGGATCAAATGAGACCAGCTCTTAAAATGCGGAAAACTCTTAGCAACTACAGACAACTAACCTAGCAACTACAGAGAACTAACCTAGCTACTACTAACCTAGCAACTACTAACTTAACAACTACAGAGAACTAACTTAGCAACTACACAGAACTAACCTAGCAACTACAGAGAACTAACCTAGGAACTACAGAGAACTAACCTAGCAACTACATGTAACTAACCTAGTGACTACAGAGAACTAACCTAGCAACTACAGACAACTAACCTAGCAACTACAGAGAACTAATCTTGCAACTACAGAGAACTAACCTAGCAGCTACAGACAACTCATCTAGCAATTACAGAGAACTAACCTAACAACTACATAGAACTAACCTAACAACTACTAACCTAGTAACTACACAGAACTAACATAGCAACTACAAAGAACTAACCTAGCAACTAGAGAGAACTAACCTAGGAACTACTTACCTAGTAACTACAGAGAACTAACCTAGCAACTACAGACAACTAACCTAGCAACTAGAGAGAACTAACATAGCAACTACATAGAACTAACCTAGCAACTAAAGAGAACTAACCTAGTTGGAAGGTTAGTTGTCAACGGTCAATGCCGGAAGTCAACGGATTTCACCGGAAGTTAACGCCGAAAGTCAACAGTCAACACCGGAAGTCAACGGTCAACGTCGGAGTCAACATGTCAAAATAATATTTAAATAATTAAAATAATATAGTATAGTTTAGAAAAATTTTTGGTGACTTCACTTTGTTTAAGAATAATATAGAATAGTTTCGATATTTTTTCATATGTTATATCATGTTTTAGTTGTTTTTAATATTTTAAACTTTTTTTTTTTTTTTTTTACGGAACGATAGAGAATATTATATAACAAAACGCACAAATATTCAAAGATAAACCCGAAGTTGAATAAGACAACCAAAGCTGAGAAAAATGGGAGGACAGGTCTGACGACCGCCTAGAATCCCGATGTAGCAACGCTAGGAACCGAAAAGAAGACTCACAAAACAACAACACAACAAACCACAAAACTACAACGAAAAGCTTTCCACAGGAGAATAGAAACAAGAGCAGATCCCCACAGGATAATAAGTTGCTCCTGCTCGAACTGAAGCCAGCGACCCAAACCAAATATATATACTATACACAAACACTCAGGCAAATAGCCCAAACCAATCCGCCGGCGAACAGAAACATTGCAAACCGACAGTCCTCTGCACCCCGCGGCAGCCATAAAGCGAGCCAAACATCCTTTCAGCTGGCCGTCGAGATCAGAGAGCGGCCCGCCTGAGAAGCCAAAGGCACTCCGACTAGAGAAGGTGAACCAACCAGTGCCGCATCCGACCCTAACCCATGGCACCACGACCCATGAGCCTTCCACCGCGCCGAAGAGGCCAACAATCGCAAACCCTAACTTACCTGCCGGAGACTGGATTCGGCAACCACCGAAACTGCCGGCACTTGTGGTGAGCAGAGTCGCGACATTTGGGAAGAACCGGGCGGCGAGGGGACGACTAGCGATAAGGCGGGAGGCCGAGAGGAAGGCGGCGATTAACCAATTTTTGCAGCAAGGGAAAAGAAGACTAGAGAGAGAGAGAGAGAGAGAGAGAGAGAGAGAGAGAGAGAGAGAGAGAGAGAGAGAGAGAGAGAGAGAGAATTTGGGAGAGAAGCTTCACACTTACATGTTTTATGTTCTTTTATACAAGATGATTTAAACTGTTTACAACAAGCCGATGTACATAAATTATATTACATGTTAACCCCAAATATTTAATTTATAAGTACTATTTAATATTGTTTACCCATAATTTAATATTGTTTACCCATATATTTAATTATTATTTAATATTATTTACTCATGCAGCTCACGAGCTACGCACCAGTTTTACTTAAATCATGCATTGAGCTTATGACACAAACAAATGTCCCTTATTTATATACATTCTCAAAAGGTTATTTATATCTTTATTTCGACAAAGGTTTCTGAAATCATCAAGACATATCTTTGTCTGGTCAAGAAAATCAAAGATAATTGAAGGACCTTCTAGATATGTTGCATAATTGGGACCTTGGTAAAAAAATAAAAAAAAACCTCCATAATGTAGACCAACTGTGAAAAACACATGTCGGAGTCCTACAAAAGCAAAGGGAAAGGAGAGTTGATTCGCAACATAAGTGCTAACAAAACCCTAGTTTAAAAATTATACTAACCATATCTAGGAGTAAGAAGGAAGTCAAGCTCTTTCCGCCGCAATTTCTTCTTGTAGATAAGGACTTCAACTTGTAGAGCAATTTTCTCGATCAAATTGAGATCGCCTACATCATATTACTCCACTGATTTAGATTTCTCCTCAGTGGTGGTTCAGATTGCTGCTTCACTAGTTGAGATTGAGACGTCTCTTCTACAATTGAGATTTCTCCAAAGGTGGTTCATATTTCACCTTCACCGCTTCACATCGAGATTTTTTTCTTCACCGATTGAGATATCTCATTCGTTAATTTAGACTTATCCTTAAAGGATTTCACTTCTCCTCACCATCTAAACAATTTTGATTCTGCCGAATGTCGAGAAATGGAGATTGTAGATTTAGGTTTCTACGACTTGTTGATTTAGGTTTAACAATTGGGAATGAAATCAGTTGATTTAGGTTTAAGAATTGAAGGCAAAATATCATAAGTTTCGCGTCTCATTAATCCCGCCACGTAAACCACAATAATATCATGTCAGATAAAATTCGTGTCACGTCACGTTTTTATTCGGAGGGCGGATAAAAATGGACCAAAATTGATTAAATTGTCAAATTATTGGACCGAATTTAATAGTGGCCTGACGGAGTGGAAAATTATACTTTGCCAAATTATATGATCATTTATTTGCCGTGATATGATAATAACATTAATTAATAATAAAGTAACGAATTAATTTAATTTATGAATCGTGATATGAATATTTTGTACTAAAATTTAGAACATGAACTCGTATATATCTTGATAAACTCAAGTGACTGAAATTTTTTCCACAATCTACAACAGCTTATTACTGGGTGCATATTAAAATACTTCCCCATATAAGACTTCAAGAAATGGCCATTTTAAGAGACTTTTCTCCTGGAAAAATATCTTATAAATTCTCCCATACAAATTCCTTGGCCTCTCATAACTAATAACAAAAATCCAGGTAAAAAGTAACAACAGAAAATGGATATTTCCAGTCTTCACTTGATCCTGGCAACAGCAATCTCCCTCCTAGCCCCTTTCATCCTCCTCCTACTCAAGATATGCACCGGGCCCAAGCGGGCCGAAAACCTCCCACCGGGCCCGAAAAAGCTTCCCCTCATCGGCAACCTCCACCAGATGGGCTCCCTCCCCTTCCGCTCCTTACGGGACCTCTCCAGGCAGCACGGCCCAATCATGCACCTCATGCTGGGCCAGGTCCCAGCCATCGTGGTCTCCTCCCCGGCCCTCACCAAGCAGTTCCTCAAGGACAACGACCCGTGCTTCGCGGACCGGCCCCAATCCATCGTTGTCGAGATCATGTGGTACAACTACTCCAACCTTGCCTTCAGCCCGTACGGGGACTACTGGCGCCAGATGCGCAAGATATGCATTCTCGAGCTCCTCAGCGCCAAGAACGTGCGCTCCTTCGCCTCCATTCGGGCCGAGGAGATGGCCCGCATCCTCCAGTCCATTCGGGCCTCGGCCGGGAAGCCCGTGAACCTCACGGACAAGGTGTTCTCCCTAATAAGCTCCATCACGTGCCGGGCCGCGTTCGGGAAGGTGTGCAAGGACAAGGACGGGCTGGTCGGGCTTCTGAGATCCGGGCTTAAGTTGGCAGACGGGTTAGTCGTTGCTGACCTGTACCCGTCTTCTAGGGTCGTTAGGGCCCTGAGCTGGAGCAGGAGGAGGCTGGTGGCAATGAGGCGCAAGATCGACACGATTCTGGATGAGATCATTCGGGAGCACGAGGAGAATCTGAAGAAGATGAAGAGTGATTTGGGGGAGAGGAGGGGGAATGGGGAGTTTGGAAATGAGGACTTGGTTGATGTGTTGTCGAGGGTTATGGAGAGTGGGGAGATACAGTTTCCGATTGGTAACGACAACATCAAGGCTGTTATACTCGTAAGTAAACCAAATTAACCAAATATTATATAATCATATGACTTATTAATTTGTTTTCTTTTTCTGTGATGTGATGATGGCAGGACATGTTCTCAGCTGGAACGGAGACATCGTCGTCCTTGATTGACTGGACAATGGCTGAACTGATGCGAAATCCGAGAGTGATGGCCAAGGCCCAGGCTGAAATTAGACAAGCCTTCCAAGGGAAGGATCAGGAGTTTGACGAACACGACGTGACCCACAAACTAAAATACCTAAAGCTCGTAATCAAGGAGTCTATGAGGCTACACCCGCCCGTACCAATCCTCCCGAGGGCGTCCAGGGAGGAACGTGTGATCGGCGGGTACACGATCCCGGCTAAAGTCAGAGTCATGGTCAATACATGGGCCATGCAAAGGGACCCGGAATGCTGGAAAGATCCGGAGAGTTTCGTGCCGGAGAGGTTTGAGGAGGGGGGACCAGATTTCGTGGGTGGGGATTTTGAGTATCTGCCTTTCGGGACAGGAAGAAGAATGTGCCCTGGGATGACGTTCGGCCTGGCTAGTGTCGAGCTGCCTGTGGCCTGGCTTCTGTACAGCTTCGACTGGAAGCTTCCGGAAGGAGTCAGGGAGGAGGATTTGGACATGATCGAGAATCCCGGGATCACAGCCTCCAGAAAGGAAGAACTTTTCGTCGTGCCAACTCCGTACCAGCCTTCTTAGTAATAATAATTGCTACAAGAAGAAGAATAACGATGATGATGATGAATCAGATGGACTTAAATAAGTTTTGCAGGAAGCTATATTTATCATGATTATATTTATATGTCGTTTTTTTCAGTGAAATAGATAATTTTACTGCTCTATCTGGTGTGTTTGGCTGCTCTGATTGCATGAATGTGTAGCTTTCTAGAAATCTAGAACACAATTTTGAATTGTATATTAGTCTACTCGTTTTTGGTCTTCTTTGAAATTTTAAATTTTGAAACAGTTTATATATTTCTCTTGACTAAGTGGGAAGATTTTGGGCCACAGAAAAAAGTAAAAGAAATGAAGATCCAAAGGAGGGAAAGAAAAAGCAAAAAAAGAAAAAATAAAAATAAATATGAAGACAGCAAAGGAAAGACAACGAAGCAAATTTGAGCAGCATGCCAATGCTGACCATTTGGAAGTGAAAATTTATTTAGCAATTTACATTGTCCGGTTTGATCAGCAATTTAGAATGGCCTCGGACCTAATAATATCAATGCAAGAAAGATACTTAAATTTATAACAAGAGTGTTCAATAAAACACCTGATGTGGATGATACAGAAGGTAATTGATGTTTGAACGAGTGTTCAACAAAGTGCCTAGTGCCGGAGCAAAGCCCAATTGCAATCCGTGAACCTCCATATGATCGACCCAAAGCAAGAAAACAATCTGCCGATCACCTAATTTTCGATCTCTCTACAATATGAACACACCCTGACATAAAAAAAACTCGTAAAATTTCTATAGACGGTGGAACTACCGCCCAAAGGTCTTGTCTCGTTGTCCAAACTGGTCGTATTCAGAAGAATATACATCTTGTCCTAAAAAGATGAATTCGTGTATGGCACCACGTGTTCTTCGCTAAGCCATCAAGTTGGCAATTAGCTATATTTATATTTAACCTTTCTCTTCGTATAAAGGTGGTCCTCGTCTTTAAATTCAACAAGCAAGAAAGCAACCAGAGAGAGAAGAAATGATAAAGAAATATACATATACAAACATATACAAGAAAACCACATACCATAACAATAAACAGCACACGACCATACGCTAGCTCAATTCATAACCACTACGGTAACAATAACAATCTTAGCTAGTCACTTTGAGAGAGTAGATCGGAAAAATCGTGTGTCTTTTATCTTACTGCTATTTCATACAACATTTTGTCTTTCACCAAGCATGTATTATATTGCTCCCTCATTTAAACCATAATTCATCATTCCTTAATTCCGTGATTAAGGACTGTGGTGATCGCTCGCCAACAAATTGGTGCTAGAACGAGGACAATCTACCTTGTGACGATCAGATCAAGCTATGTCTCACTCTTCCAGTCCCACTTAAAACCAACTTGAGGACACCACTCCTCTCCATCCAGATATTATCGATATAATTCGCAATCCGAAATTTTTCAAATGCCTCACTGATATTTTCTCTAAGATTCTACACAATTAGACTACAGAAAAAACTAAACTTCATACAACTCATCAAAATTCGAGACAAACAAAGAGTAACCAATCTCATGAGGTCCAATCACAAGAAAAAAAGAAGGCCCCGGACAAGGGAAAAGAAAAACAACACCCCGATCACCTTAACCATTCCAAAGATCATGAAAGTATGGCGATAGCCAGGCACACATGAGTTCGAACGTCCGATCAGTGTTTAATCGACTGGGAAATAAACCCGAAGACCACCCACAATAAATTACTAAGAGGATCCTGTCGGGGTATCACAACAAGCACAGCGAACAAAAATATCCCTCCAACTAATATGGCAAGCACTACTCCAGACGAAAATAAACCAACACAAATAAATAAAATACGAGAAAGAAAAAAGCACACAAAAATTGATAACTGAGTTCGGCGAAAATAGCCTACGTCTCCGGGCACCGCCAACCGCAACACCAAATTTACTAAACTCACCAACAAAATACAACAAAAGTTAAATAACCCACAAATTAGGATTTCCTTAATTCAGGATTTCCTTCTAAATATGAGAGAATAGAATAAGGTGCAATTGTAACTCAAAGGCAAGAGACCTATTTATACTAATTAAATCCTACACATCTTTGGTATACGTTCGATGTGGGACATAAAATTAATCAAAATCTAACAATTCTACACCTTGACTAATTTTGCTCCCACTTCCAACTCAACTGCTACCGGTGCCTTCAAATGCCCCTCTCGGCACCAACTCAAATATGCAGAATGTTGGTCAAGTCTAAACAATGTTCAAACTTGACTGCTGTCACTACCTTGGTCATCATATCTCAGGATTCTCCGCTGTCTTGATCTTCTTCAATACAACGGTTTTATCTTCTAGAATCTCCCGCACAAAGTGATAGCGAACATTAATATATTTCGTTCTTGCATGAAATACTTGATTTTTTGCTAAGTGAATAGCGTTCTGACTGTCACAATGCACAAAGACGTGCTTTTGGCCAGCTCTCAAGTTTTCAAGAAAACTTTGAAGCTAAATTGCCTCATTCACAGCTTCAGTAACCGCCATATACTCTACCTCTGTTGTAGACAAAACAAGTATTGGCTGTAACGTAGACTTCCAACTGACCGGAGCTTTTGCAAAAGTGAACAAATATCCAGTCGTTAATCTTCGCTTATTCAATTCACCCGCATAGTCAGAATCACAATATCCAACTACACATTGACCAACTTTATTCTGCTCATAAACTAATCCAACGTCTACAGTACTATGAATGTACCGTAGAATCTATTTCACAGCTTACCAATGACCTTTCCCAGGGTCATGCATATACCTGCTAACAACACCAACTGCTTGTGAAATCTCGGGCCTTGTACACACCATTGAATACATCAAACTGCCAACTGCATTTGCATATGAGACTCTAGCCATGTACTCTTGTATCTCGTATCAAATGGTATTTGCGCTCTATGTGTTTGCATGTTATGTGGGCTCGTGGTTCCCTTGAGTTCGCTACTGTTCCACTGTTATCACAGTACACGGTGATACAACGTGACAAAATTAGAATCACCTCTAAGTCCACTAAGAAGTTTATTAGCCAAACTGTCTCTTTCGCTACTGAGGCTGCTATGAACTCGCCTTTCATGGTGGAGTGCCATGCATTTCTGCTTAGCACTCCTCCATGAAATGGCTCCACCTCCCATGGTGAACACATAACCGGAGGTTGACTTACTCTCGTCCCTGTCTGACAGGAAATCGAAATCACTGTAACCCAAAGGTAACAAGCTGTCTGCATGGTAAACTAACATGTACTCCTTAGTCCTTCTCAGGTGAGACGTCTTCATGTCCTATATCTCTTGAGACGTCTTAGGAGACATCCCCTTAGATAGACTTATTCCACTTCAGAAAGGCAACATACCTTTCTTGGAATCCTGCACGCGGAATCTAGCCAAGATAATATCTATGTATGAAGACTGGGATAAGCACATCATGCTCTTCCTACAGTCTCGAATGACCCTAATACCAAGAATGTGTCCAGCTTCACCTAAGTCTTTAATATCAAACTGTTTCGACAACCACACCTTCACGTCTGATAACTCATTCTTACTGTTTCCAATAAGAAGTATGTCATCTACGTAAAGCACAAGAAGTATGTCGTCCCACTCGTATGATTTCTACATCAGAAAGCATAGGTTTACTAATTTTTATTTTTGTATCCATAGAAAACTATGTACGATTGCAAGTGCTAATGTTCTTATACTACTATATATTAGGGGTTGAGCCACCCCGAAGGCTAGGGTGAGCTACAACCCTGATTCAGATTTTTTGTTTTTTTAATTATGCCCTCGAAAAAAATTATTTTATTAGTTCACTTTATATTATATTAGTCACGTATTAATTTTATTTTGGCCGAAAATAAATTATTATTTTTAGATTAAACCAAGAAGTTATACAGTTGTACATATTTGAGTCTCCCTTTTTAGCTTACTAGTAAAGTGCACGTGCGATGCACGTGGTGTCGAATGATTTTCGCGGAGTAAGTTTGTAAAATAAATTAATTTATTTATTAAACATATTATTGCATAAATGAAGTAAAATATAGAAAAAATGAACTCATGTGTGTTTTTTTTTTTTTTATTTAGAATTAACATAATGATGTCCTCATATAAAAATAGTGAAATAACGTTTTACAAACCCCAACAAAAATATATAAAAAAAACAAATTCCTAATAAAAAAAAACACAAGATTTTCTTTCATTTTAGTTTTAACGTTCTCATAAGAACATTCATAGTCGTTGGAGTCCAATACATCAATACTATTACAAAATTCCTCTTAATTAATTTGGCAAAACGCCAATTTTATTTAAACACTTAAGAAACATTCTGACCCAACATATAGTCAAACTTCATGATCGTATGATCTTTATAACAATGTACTTCTACTAACAAAGGATAAATATCTCTATGAAATAACTAACGATGTCACTAAAATTGCTGATATTTTTATCACTGTATAAACTACTACATTCCTCTATCTCTAGATATATTGGTGTCTACCCCATTGATGCATCGCCCCACAAGGTGAGAATAAATTTTATCTCCAAATAAAAGTTGACTTTCCAAAATCTTTGTTACATATACTTCTCCCGAGGTGCTAAATTATTTTTTGAAATCATCATACATTACCTGAAAGTACCTCTGAAGTAATTGCACATATGTTCAAGAACAATAAGCCAATGAGATTATAAATATTTCTATAAAAAGTGACAACTTAATTCTAACATTCAAAACTATTTTGATACTCCTACATTTCATTTTCAGTGTTATTTATCTAGAATATAGACGAACAATATAATCTTCTTTTTGCAATGATAAAACAAAACAATGAGAAAATATTGAGAAACATATCATTTGTTAAAATATTTGACAAAAGAAGAATTAGAATCCCATTATATGACGATACTTTTAGTCATTTGTAAAGTTTATTATTATGGAGTCATGATTAAAATATACATCATGTATACAAATTTTTAGA